AGTGGGGGGGGGGGGCAATAGGGATGTCGCCTAGGGTGTCAAATTGGCTAGAAACGGCCCTGTGTGCAGTGACTTGCTGGGCATGTTTGGAGCTGGCTCCAATAGCTTAGAGTTAACGGGACTGGTTGACCGTGTCTGTCGTGACAACAGGCGTTGTGCAGGGGAACCTACCGTCGGGTCACGGGGATACATCCGTCCCATCTCTGTGAGATTTCTCCATCAGCTGTTTGGCACTGCGGACCGCTCTTTCTTCCAGGCTGTTTGACTGCTGGAACTCTGGACTACTGGTGACATGGATGAAGTCCCACTGTTTTGCAAAGTCTCTGAATTGTTGACTTGTGTACTGTCTGGTGTTATCAGAAATGAGTGTGTGAGGTGTGCCATGCACAGAGAAATGTCTCTTCAGTTTCCTGATCACAGCTGAGGATGTTGTATCACAGAGAAGGTCAATCTCATACCAACCTGAGTATGAGTCCACAAGCACCAGGTAGTTTTGGCCACGCCACTCGAACATGTCTGTTGCCACAGTAGACAAAGGCAAGTCTGGAACTGAGTATGGTTTTAGTGGTTCTTTCTGTTGATGTGGCTTTGTGCTATTACAGACTGAGCATGTGAGGAGTTCCTCTGTGATATCAGCCGTCATTGTTGGCCAGAAAATGATACCTCTTGCTCTGTGCTTGGTAGCGTCCAAACCAGGATGTCCACTGTGGACTATGCCGATGTATTCTCTCTGTAATGAGCGAGGAATTACTGTTTTGTGGCCTTTCATTACTATTCCGTCTTCCACAAGCTATGTTCTTTGTTTGACCAACCTGGTTGAATCACAATGCTTAGAGCCTGTAGGGTTTCCGCAAGATATATGTGCTTACGCTTCTTGTACACCAGATTGATGTCGTAGCACTGTAACCTGAGCATAATTCTCTGTAATCGTGCAGGAGCTGTGTGAATGGGTTTCTTTAAAATGGTCACCAGGGGCTGGGGGTCTGTTTCAACGATTGTAGATTGCTGCTGGTACCAGCCCCATATAGTTCCTCAGGTGAAAGAGACGTAGTATTAAATGTATTAAAAATATACTTGAAATTCAAGTAGTATGTTTATAATTCATTTGTATTTCCAACGTGCTTATTTGAAGTGCAATAAAAATATATTTGGTGAATCTTCTTTCATCGGAGGGATTACATAAATCTCTCAGATTTTTATTAAAATATCGCCGCTTTTCTTTTGAAGAGGAACGAAAGTCTTAGATGGTTTGGAGCATCTTAAGGGTGAGTAGTGACAGAATTCTAATTGTTTTGGGGGAACTATGAAATTAATTAGAAAATATAGCGGTATGTTCTTATGTTTAGCAGCTTCTGCAAGCGTGTATGGCGTCTGGCTTCTGGAACCTCACTGTGACTTCAGGTAAGATTTAATTAACGTTATTTGTCTGTGCAAGTCGTGTTTTTGACACGTGCATTGGCAGAAAAAATAAATAAAATAAAATTAGTCATTATAACATGTACAACATTAACATTCTTTTATTTGCTAAGTGAAGTTATGTATTTATTTATTTCTGATTTCCTGAACAATTTGGCTTCATTGTAATGAGGTTAATGATCTTTGAAAAACCATGATTATGAACATACACTGAAATCTGAGTGCAGAGACAAGCAAAGGAACAGTACACCAAACACCATCTAAGCTGCCAGGGCATCATCGTCATTTTCCCATCACCATCCCTTTGCCACATCCTGCCATCATCCCGCACTTTTGCCTCTCACCATCCCTACGCCATCTCCTTGTCCACCTCCAAAACCCCCTCCATCCCTCCCTATTCTGTTGCTT